GAAAATAAGGTAAAACAAACATAATCATTATTTATTGATCTGATATATTGAGTGATAGTCTTATAATTAACGAATTCATTTTTTCGTTTCTGTATATAGGTATCGAAATGTTCGTCCGGTTTTTTCAGTGCTCCTAATTGTTGGCCGATTGGCAAACTTTGAAATTCATCCCATGATTGGTAAACATTTGTCTGATTTTTCCACTTATTTCTAAATTCATCGCTAATTAGTTCCCATTTATGAAAACATAGTGTAATCGCCGGCACCTGTAGTGCAGACTGAGTGTCAAACCTGACATTAGTTGTGGTTTCGTATGAAAAGTATAATAAACTTATTTTATACGTTTGAATCACACATCCCATCAGACATAGTAGTGTTGTCATAATTTTGAATAAATGATTATTCACTTTTATTAATGCAGCCTTTAATAAATTAGACATTTTCACTAAGAAATAGCTAGAATTTAGTCTATGATATTTAAAATATTTAAAAAACTTATATTATGATATTGTAGCGAACACATAAGTAGTACTAACTTAATAAATAAATTTTAATAATAAGCATAATAATTAATATGAATATTTTTCGATTATGAAAATCTATATTTCTTTTTACGTTAAAAATTTAATTAGATTTTTGGGTGTGTTATAAATATAACATGGAAATAACTAATTAGAATAAACAATTAAATTATATATATTATACAGTGTTACCTGTCCATAGGAAACGGGCAAATTCATAGGCTTATTTTTTAATAAAAAGGGTTACTTCAAGGGAGGTTTGTTTATAAGCACGATTAACATGTATTTGTATACAGTATTTGTTAATCTGTTATTAAAAGTTTTTTATAATTTACGATTTCAATTTGTTTTATATTAAAATAATTCATAATATGCCTATTTGTTTATTTATAGTTTGGAAAATATGCTTTAAATATCGTTATTATTATTTTCAATGTTTGTTAGTTTCTTATAAATAATGCTAATTTCATATAAATTTCCATAAATCTATTTTACTGGTGATGTATATCTTATTTAGCATTAGATGCATAGAAAATACAATAAATATTTTAAAACAGTTTTTTATGATGATTTGTTTCCATACGAGAAGTATCCCAAAGAGAGGTTGCATTGTACTTGTATATTAATTTATTATATGTCAAGGATTTATTTTAGAATGTCAAAATATCGTTACGCCTTTGTTTTGATAAAATTAATTAAATGTACGTATATTATAATAAATGTTAATAAAAATTGTTATTTGAAATCTTACATCACCCATTTCTGTGATAGCGTGCAATCGAGATTTAATATTTTCTCTGATTGTATGCAATACTAAATCAATATCAGTAAAATAATGTTTTTCAAAATTGTATGCAATAATATCTAAAAAGTTTTGTACCTCATCACAGAACCTCTATTTATCGGGAATACAAACATACAAATTTAGGTGGGAGTCGGGAGCATAAAACAGTCAAATTTGGGAATAAAATCGGGAATTAAAATTAATGTTATTTGACATTTTAGCACTAAATTTGATAAATGATTATTTAAAAATTCATTTATTATTATAATTATTATTAGTAAATATTACAATTCAGATTACATATTAAAATAAATAAAATTTTTAAATATAAAAATCTTTACACAACATAACAACTGATTATTATTACTGTAAACTTTATTATATTTCACTAGTCAAATATTTTTCAAATAATTTAATAAGCGCTACGTTATGCGATTTATATTTAGGATAGGGGTATTTGTCGCCGAGTTCGCACTTGGTATCCGCTTTTACACCGAGAACTTTCTCAGCTCTGGTCACGATTGCAGCGAATACTGATGTGTGATTGCGAGCAAATTCTCTAAAACCATCCTGGTCATCGTGCAAGTCTATTACATTCACCCAGAAGTTACGCTTCATGCTGTGGGATGTGTTTAACAAATATTTTAACTATTTAATTTTAATAATTAAAATTTAGATTACAATGAAACATGTTGTACCCTACCATAGTACTTGGCTCAAGTTAATTTTTGTCTGCTTGGTGGCATCCTCGAGGTAACCATTAAATCGGTCATATAGTTTTTTTGTCTCGTTCAATTTAGCATTGGTTAATGCGCAGTATTTGACCATGGTGTCATCGGGCAGTTTGCAAAATTGGTTAACCTTCTCGTAGTGAGCAATGCTGGGACTCTCCAGTATTATGTCCCGTATTTGTGGCTTCACGAAACCGATATATTTCAAACCGGCTACTACATCCCAGAAACTGTATAGTGGTGATCATTTTGAATATAATTATTTATTAATTATTGGATAAGTTGTATATTTAGGAAAATTTATTTTAATATAGTAATAAAATATCAATTTAATTTAATGCTGTACAAAATAAACAGCTTGTTCATTTGTCGTCATATGAGATTATTGCTTTGCTAATGGTATGAATCGTATAAATAAGATTTAAATTATAATGACTATAAGTTATAGTCTATAATAAAGACTGAAAAATAAATTAGAGAAAAAGTAATTATATTATGACGTGGTTATTAAATCACCAAGTTATATTTTTCTCTATTATTCAAAATAATCGTTACTAATTATAGAGCAGAGTTCCCCCTGAATTTATAAACAATAAATATAATCATTAATAATAAAAATAAAGTACCATGCCAGCCCCTAATGCTAACGCTGGCCCCGCTGACCTGGTCACCATTTAATATGGAAACAATAGACCATGGTTAGGGGTCTTTGAAAATGTTGTCCATATGTCCCTAAGTTATTGGGTTCGTTGTAGTGACCACTTTTATCGAGACAATTTACTCTTTTAAAAAATTTATTTTAATTATATATGTGTCATATTATATATCAACGGAAAGGATTTGATGAGAGGAATATGGATCTGAAGTAATTTTGTACTTAGGATATCAGATAAAAAAGTTATTTAAAAAATTAAAAATATATTACATTTTTTGTACTTTATTTATGCTATAAACGTTATTTTTTGCTGTGATTTGTTTTTAGTTTTATCTATAGACGTCTCATTGCAAATAATTCATATTATATTAAATGGTGACCAGGCCAGTGGGGCCAGCTAAGCATTAGGGGCTGGCATCTTACTTAGTAATATGTTTAAACTCCACTTTTGGTATTACTGTATACTATACATGAGTAGCACTTAAATAGATTATAAATTACAAAAGCAATTGTTTTATGCGTTAAGCCTCTAAGGCCTTAAAATATCAATATAGACTATGACTGTACTTACAATTTACCAGCTAGATTATCAGTAGTGCCCAGTTCTATGCAAATGGCCTTAAGTAAGTCTACATTTGCGGGACATTCAACGCCATTGCCGTATCTCTCATAACGCGGAATCATATCATCATAATAAGCCTCCTCAGCATCATATCCACAATATGTTACGCCTTATAGTAATTAAATTAAAATATATATTAATCATTATGCATATTAATAGTCTCTCTCTCTCTCTCTCTCTCTCTCTCTCTCTCTCTCATACATCAAATCACACACCAATTGTTATTTAAACATGTAAAAAATTATTTAATTAGTAGGAATATATGTAGAAATATGAACATACCAATTAATGTCAACACAATCAATAACTTCATTATCACTGATTTAATTGTTATAAATAAAAATAATTACTTTCAAAGCTGTTGAGACCTACAGTAATATGACTAACTAAATACCATATGTATTGATAGTGTTCGATGCAAGCCATATATTATAAGTTATAATTTATAACACTGACAAAACTTTATTGACGTGCGTAATTATTTTTCGCACCTGTTGCATACATGAGCAATGCTTTGCATTAAATTGCATTGACCATAAAATAATTTATGTGTTATATTGTTTTTAAACTTTCGAAACATAGTCCTTTCAAGTAGTCGGAAATAACTATGTTCTGTACTTTTTTTTGTAAGTTTGTGCAACTGTAGCGCAATATAAAGTTTTGGTCTTTAATTGTAAAGTTGTTGTAAAGTTGATATAAGCAGTCACAAACTGTAAGTTATAATAATAAATTACGATCTAAATCAAAAATTGATGCAGTTCATTGATGAATTTTTTAATTGATAGTACATATAATTTGTTAATTAATATTATTTTTGAAAAAAATAATTTTATATACAAATATTCAGGATTACTGATACTGCATACTATAACAACTTATGTAGATAAAGTTTTATGTTTATGTGACTATTATTTGATAACTAATTAATTTAATTTATTTAAAAATAAAAAAGAAACGTATTTAAATTTAATTTAATAAAATACTAATTGTAAAAGTATCATCATTATAAACTTATTTTATTCATACATTTTATAAAACATTTTTAATTACATTTTATTATAATGTACAATTGATCATATTTCAGTAATCATGGATTTTTCAAACACTTTACTAAGCGACAAGGTGGACGATTTGTATTTAGGATCGGGGTATTTGTCGCCGAGTTCGCACTTTGCATCCGCTTTCACACCGAGAACTTTCTCAGCTCTGGTTACGATTGACGCGAATACCGATGTATGGTTGCGGGCAAACTCTCTGAAACCATCCTGGTCATCGTGCATGTTTATTATATTTGTCCAGAAGTCACGCGTTATGCTGTGGGATGTGTTCAAAAATAATATCTTAATTAATTAATTTTGTTAATTTAAACATTTAATTAAAATATAATTTTAATTGTAAATTCATTGTCTATATCATAATGCTAACGCTAATCGTAAGTAATATGTAATTTATTATCTCTAGTTAAAAGCTCCCAATGGCCTGAGCCCACCGAGTTATGACCAGTTTTCTAATCAGGTGCATAGTGTTTATTGCATATACCTGATTAGACCATTGGCCGTAACAAGGTGGTTTTGGCCACTGGCAGATGTTAAATCGATATAATTAATAATGGATCTACTGGTCCAATATTTGTGTAGTTAAAGATTATGACTAATAAACCTAACGGTAAAAGTGGGTTCAGGGATACCTACCATAGTACTTGGCTCAAGTTAATTTTTGTCTGCTTGCTAGCCTCGTTCAGGTAACCAAGAAATCGGTCGCGTAGTGCTTTCGCCTCGTTCAATTTAGCATTGGTTAATACGCAGTATTTGACCATGGTGTCATCGGGTAGTTTGCAAAATTGGTTAACTTTCTCGTAGTGAGCAATGCTGGGACTTTCCAATATTATGTCCCGGATTCTTGGCTTGAGATAACCGAGATATTTCAAGCCGGCCACTACATCCCAGAAGCTGTAAAATGTGGACAATATTTTAAATATGATAAATTAAATTAAATTATATCTTGTTTGTTTTTATATAGTAAACATATTAATTTGATTTCATCTTGTATGAAGTTACTAGTTTGTGGTTTTTCACTGTAGTTAAATGTTAACCTGTATATATGATTTATAGTGAAAACTAGAATATTAACAAGCAAACTAAGAATTAATAAAAGTATTTATTTATGATTTTCATAATTAATAAAATTAAATTTATAAAATTGTAAAGTTATAAAGAGAAATATTAAAATTAAACACTAGGATTTTTATTTTTTTAAAATTAGCATTATTTGTTTATATAAACTATTTTGAATATGGAATTAATAAACTAAACTAGCTGAACTTACAATCTCCCTGATAGATTATTAGTAGTGCCCAGTTCGCTGCAAATATCTTTAAGTGAGTCTACATTTGCGGGACATTCAACGCCAGTGCCGTATCGCTCATAACGTGGATTCATGTCATCATAATAAGCCTCCTCAGCATCATATCCACAGTATATCACACCTACGAGTAATTAAATTAACATATATATTAATTATTACGCAAATCAATAATCTCTCTCTCTCTCTCTCTCTCTCTCTCTCTCTCGCTCTCTCGCTCGCTCTCTCTCTCTCTCTC